TTTCGTTTTGGCACATACGAAATTCACCCGCACGTCGTCGTTTGCGTAGGTGGTCCGCCAATACGCCGTCGCAGCAAACGCCGACTGGCTGGAGTCCACGAAGACGTGCAGCTGGAGTGCTCGTACTTGTCCAGTACCAAAATAGTAGCGTGGACATCGGAACTCCTTCACATAGCTCATCTCCTGCCGCCAGCTAGCTCGTCTAGCAATGGCTCATCCCATGTGACTCCTTTTCGCCAAATCTCTCGCATAAGTAGCTTGGCGGTTACCATGTAGCAGCTCAAGAACCCAATCGGATCAAACGTGGACATCACCAAGCTGAGGAACTCCCTCTTAGTAGGGACACGTTCCCCCGTCATCACGCTGCTGGGAACCCGATGGTACTTGACGCTGAATCTGAAGTCATCTGTAGCCGGGTGCCAATACATGCCCAATACCTTCTGCTCGGATTCGGTCCACTCGACGTTCTCGTTGGTGCCTAACGGACTTAAGGCTCTGACCAATCTCGCCGAGCTGGAAGAAAACCGACACAAATCGAAACCGGCACTTGCGTGTATCTCTCTTACTCGTTTTGAGACGGCTATAGCTTCATCCTCGTCTGCGAAGCTATCTACGTAATAGTCCACGTAGTGGTACTCATTAATAGACAGGACCGCCCGGGGATCAGTGTGCACGTGCCTTAAAGCATTTACAGTCTTCACGTGCTGCGCTGAGCATGGCGAACCAGCTGCTCCAAACGTCATCACTGTCATCTCGTAGATCTCCGGGTCTTTGCGGTCATCTCCGTGCCTCCACAAGAATCTCCGGGCGCATCTATCTTGTGGCTGCATCAATACCTGGTGGAACATCTCCTTGATGTCCGCGCAGACTCCCATGGCTCCTTCCCTAAAGTGGAAGAGGACAGCCGGGAGTGACTTGTAGTTTTGGGGGCCTTTCAGTAGTGCTGAATTCAGGGATACGCCGTTCACTTTGGCTGCTGCATCGAAAACTAGACGGATCTTCCCAGGCTTGTTTGGGTTTTCGACCCCGAAGTGCGGCAGGTACCACAACTTGTCACGACTACCATAAGTGACCTCCTGCTGCTCTAGTCGTCGTGCGTATCCCTTCTTGACGTAGTCATCCATGATCGCATTGTAGGCCTGCGCGAAGTTCGCATCGCGCTTCATTTTCCGTTCGATGTTGACGAGTCGCCGTAGTGCCATGTTGTAACTGTCTGGCAGTCTCGTCTCGTCATCCTTCCATAGCAGCCCAGTCTGGTATCGTTGACCTATCCGTTTAGTCGTCCTCTCCAAGATGCCCAGAGCCCGTTCATCGTCGCTGGCTGCGACCGGTGGCGCTGGCTTCACTCCGAAGTTGTCTATTTCAAAATAATCGCTGACCATCTTCTCCAGAGCGTCATCCTGGGTAACGGCTCGTAGGCACGATCTCTCCGTCAGTGGACTCGCTTGACGTCTCACTGGTCCATATACTACCCATCCTAATTTGGTAGCTGCTGCGTATGGTCCTCCTGCGCCGAAGCTTCTGCTTTGCAGGGGAATTCCTAGGTGCGCGTGATCCAGTCCAATAAGGATCCTTGGCGCTGCATTGTTGTACGGCTTCAGTGGTAGGCGTGCGCTCGCCCTTGCCGTCTTGACATCTTCCCGACGTAAACTCTGCATCGGAAGACTCAGGTTGCTTACTGCGTACACGTTCCTTAAACCGTGCCGCTTCGGTTTGCCCGCTCCACTGATCTGCAGGCTAACCCTCCTCGTAGGCTCTCTGGCGGACTTACCGCCAAACCACTGCACGTTCAGTTGTCGACTCTCGCCCTTTAGGTGTAGGCTTCGGACGAGCTCGTCGTCTATGAGCGTCACAGACGATCCCTCGTCGAGCAGTGCGTACCTGTCCACCTGTTGCTTCTCCCCGTACAGCGTCACGGGCAGAACTCAGAACAGCAGATGGCCTCCATCCGAATCGACGCAACTAAGGTTTCGATGCGGCGTCTCCTGGCCGCTTTGATTCTCATTTTCCATGCGCCCAGCGCTTCTCAGGCTTGTTGCTTAGGCCATGGAAATGTTACTCACTGTTGGATCCGCAGACTGCGGCATCCGCTTATGTTGGCTGATGACCTCTTGTGGCTCCCGTCTGTGGTTGCTCGTAGCTCCCTGTGACTGTCTGGGGATATCGGCTTCGTCATGCAGCAAGTAGTGATGCTTCCTCTAGCATCCGTAGACGTTGCACTTACGGCTCCTCTTGCAGAACCGTACCATGTGCCCGGTTTCAAGGCACGCGAAACAGATCCGCCGCTTCTTGGCGAACTCCAATCGCGGCCTGACAGGGGCGTTGTTGAATTCCTTGCAATCCTTGATGGCGTGTTGCCCTTCACACATGAGGCAACCTCTGGGGTGGTCATTATACCCCTTCTGTTCCATGTCTTCCTGATGCTCACCATGCATCGGAAGCTCCAGATTCGTGTTTGCATGTAACACCCTTCGCTTTGGGGTTTTACTGCTCACGTCCGTAATGGTGCATACCAGCTTAGCGAGCTCGTTTAGCCATTCACTTAGGCTCAGTCCAACCTCTTACTTAGGGGCAATTTGGCGATCAGCTCCTCCATCAGAGTGGGATTTCCTATATGCTGGTCGCCGCTGTCGGTTGACTGCAGAAACGCTGCAAGGTTGCTCACCCTCGTGGCGAACGATACAATCCTGCCTATGTTGTGCTCCTGAATTGGGTGTAGCTCCCGCACGCTCTCCAGTTGGCTCCGGATCAATTGCTCCGGACGCCTATAGCGAAAGCGAAGCTGTTCCATTACGGCCTGTACGTTGTTAGGATGAATAAGCAGTGACTTGACTGCCGTCCTCGCTTCACCCTTCAATGCCTTCACTAGCCTTTGGTTATCTTCCAATACTGTACACTGATACGCCGCCGTCGTCTCCAAGAACGCGCACTGGAATATTGACCATTCCTCTGGCTGACCTTCGAACTCTGGAAGATCAGGCAATCTGCGTGGCGTCCATTCATTGGCCACACCTGCTGTTCCATAGGATCCGGGTGATGTCGTGGGTACAGCGAATCTGCGTTGTGGCTCCCGTGGTGCGTGAACATAACCTCGTTCTGGCTGCACCGTGGCCGTCACGCAACGTGTAGCGAGTAGCTTACAGTTGTACAGTGTGTCCGTGTGACTCGTTGGCCTATTGCCGCATTACCACTCAAATATGGCGGCAAACTTCCACTCAATTGTGGCGGCAGATTTGCACTCAATTGTGCCAGCAACTGTTCATCATAAGACTCAAGAGCTGCCTTACCGTTGCGCTCAAACATGGCGCCTCTCCTAGCGATGTATTCGCCGCACCGCTCACTCCGACGCCACTCGACCCGTTCCTAACGGGATTCCTGGCGGGCGCCGCAAGTCCTTCATTTGCCCTTGCCTGTTGGAGCTCCTTCTATAGATTTGCGATCCTTGCCATAAGCTTCGCAATCTGTGAAGTCGTGGGGTCCACATCCTGTCCCAGCGCTTCCGCTTGGGCAGGTCCAGTGGTGCGTTTTACCCCGATTCCTTCCTCTGGAGTCCGTGGCCGCTGTGGGCCACCGTCTGCATACGCCAAGCCGGCCGGTGTGCCGGATGCTGCAGATGTGGTCGTAGCTGCGGTAACCTCAGATTGATTAAGTCTGGGGCTCCGTCTGGGCCAATGTGTCGTCGGCATATCACGCGTTTAACTCCGTACGTGTTTTCCAAATGCCGTTAGAGCTCTAAAGCGAATTAAGATGCGAACTCAAAGAATGCGAATAAAAGAAATGACTCTGATCCAAATCCCGGGAGTTGTCATCTAACACCTGTGCTCCACCGAAACAAGAAATACCAGATCTTGTAACGTATCCAACACTCGAACTTGAAGTGTGGTAATGAGCTTATGAGTGTTTTATTCTGTTGAGGAAGTACAAACTTAGAATTTAACCTCAACCTATTCCGTTTTACATACCGCAGTATCTCCTCCCTTCTCTGCTGGGATCGCCGATCGGAATAACCGTGGCGCCGAACTAAACATAGCTTTTCGGCCATAAACAGTGTGGCCAGTTACAAACATAGTTCAAATACCGAGTACATACTTAACGAAAGTTCGCCTTAGTGGCGCGTAATTCAAACTTGACTGACTATCGATATTCTAGCGGGTTAGCTTATCCGTTCCGCGACAGACGGTTATCATATGTGTTCGACGTTTAGGGACCTTTTCAGGGCAGCCTACGATATCCAAAACTCACGCGCATGTAAGTTTATTTATCTAAATGTGATGTAGTTTTTTCAAATTCCCATCTTACCAATAAAAATTTTCGGCCGAGAAATGCTAAGCGTTACAAGAATAAACTAAAGCTGGTAACACTAAAATAAATGTCCTTTGCAGAAAAATCTTCGACTGCTTTGAAAGAGCTGCAACATACCGCTCTTAGTTCTCTAACGTCTATTGGTTATTAGTGATTTTCCAAACATCCTTTAATCCTTTTAATATTCCCACAAAAGCTCACGCCTGATCTATCGATCCGATTTTTGTTCATATAAAGGTTGCTCGTCAAAAGTAATTTATTTGTGGTATTAAAAAGTTCATAATAAAAATGTTTATTATTATACACAACTTTGCCGTAATCCTTACCAATCGAGTTGAAGCCAGTAAAAATGTAACCCATTTAAATAAAGCCAAGGTTTTTTATCAGTCCACTACTAGAGGCGCCAGTATCGCGACTCGGTGACGCTTTCCGTTCAAAAATCGCCATTTTCCAAATGCTATTCAAGAATTAAACATTGTAATCTTAAAACCTCTCACAAAATAAAAACTAAGTTTGACTTAATTTTTCCGAAAGCTACAAGATTGTCCCCTACAGTTTGTTAAGAATTTAAAATCATTCTTAAAATGGCGCCGCAGGTCACTCCGGCCTACTTCTCATCGCATATTCTGGAAACCCCAGGTTAATTACGTTTCGTTTGTACTAATTTACAATACGTATCGCAATTAATATAAAAATTCTTTAACTTAAAAACCTCTGCCATGTACATATAATTTTTAGTTTTTGCAGGCGTTACAATTTACTTATCAAGTTAGGAGGACTCTGTGTCGAGTTATCTAAAATATCTTTCATTTCAAGAAAAGACTGTTCAAGAGTTTGTATAAAAATCAAAAGATCGGTCACATTACAGTGACGCCAAGCCGATATAGCTAAAATTATGTCATTATCGCGAGGATTGTAGCAGCACGCATATCCATCGTCTACAGCTGGTCCATATCCCATGAATGCATTATATTTTGTAGCGACCTGTGAAGTTGACATGCGAAAATGACTCGATTTGACAAAGCCCGGTGATGAATAGAACTCTGGGATAGGCAGATTATTTTCCATAGCCATGACCTTTAGTCCGAGGAGGTGTCGGTCGACGCCTTTGCCTTGCAGCGCTAACTTTGCGTACATCTGATGACTCATTACTGCCTTACGGAGTTTATCAACGCGTTCCTCTTTCGAGGCTTTCGAATTATTTTGCATGGCCCGACAGAAGGACACTGATTCATTTGAACAAGACCGTATTGTTTCAGTCCGACCTCCTTCAAATATACGCAAGTGTGCCGACTCATATTGCGCAGCCGGCTCGGAGTGCATTCTGCAAATAAACAAAAATACAACATGAAACAGACATTAAATTAAATATAGCTAATTAATCAACTTACTTAAAGAAAGCAAGCTGCAACGCTATCTGTATAAAACTATCTGGACCCAGGCGCTGTTTTTTTATAAACTCTTTTCCAAATTTATCGAACTTGAGAACTTTTATCTGAAGCGATTTTGCCAGCTCATCAAGATTTTGTTGCGCAATATTCAGGCACTGTCCAATGCGATCATTTGGTTTACAAAATTGTATTTTATCGGTAGGAATGACGTCTTTGGAACCACAATCTCCAAAATTACGATCCTCCTCCCTAAGACAAAAAATGTATAATGTAGCTTTACTTACAAGGCCAAGCTTATGATAATTACATACAACTTTTTCATGACATAATCCATCATCATTGCGATTGGCTGGCCCTCTGCAGGAGAATGTTCATAAGTGAATCCAACATTACCATTTGGGTTAACAACCAATTGAATTGTCTTGTCCATCCACCGGTTGCCGCTGTTGATATGGCTACCACTTCCATGAATCAGTGAAGATATAAGCTCATCGTCCTCTTCACCTTTCATTAAACTGGTACATTGGTCGAGTGACACGGTAAATAAGGCACCTTGAATCGTTTCCAGAGCATCTCTATTGACTGGTATATCGGACAAGTTTTCATAGGCATCGGCCCAGTTGTCCCTTGAGTCTGTAGTTAAAATTCCATAGGCAACACCAACTGTTGTCTCAGTTTTCATTATATTTTCCAATTGAAGCTCCAGACAGGAAGCAGATATCAGTTTTCCCTTTTCGTCGTATATTTTCATTTTATAGAACTGTAATGAACATATATATCGTTATATTTTAAATATTTGACAATCTTATTTTTATGCTGCTTAACAAAAAAAAATAATATGTATACATATATATATATATCTGTCTATATATTTTATTGTTGGTTTAATTTATTAAATATATTTATTTTTGGAAACCTCCATTTTACAATATTAATACTAATCTTTTCATTTAATATGTACCATATGTTAATGACCACCTCAGGTCACCAAATCGAAATTTGTTATTGTCGACAGTACTTTTTTTGCAAAACCCATGAGATGTTTAAATAAAACTATTTCAGAAATATATGCGTACATAAATGATCTAGTATTGTTTTTAAATTAAATGTATTGGACAAATTAAAATTTTTGACAATTTATCGCTTCCTCCCATATTCCGGTTTCTTGAAAGATTTGTAGGAAAATTCCGTAGTTAAATATTCGTTTCAACAAGACTCCAAATTTTGGGATACTTTCTATGACAAAAATAAGAAATGGGGGTGATATCAAACTTCGTCCTTTAGGAAATTGTACTACCTAGCGTTAAAACAGAGAGACGTATAAACGGACATACGACTCGGACGTGGTTCTGATCTAGAATAAATATACATTACTTTATAGGGTCGCATATGTTACCATTACAGCATTGCGAACTAAAATGATGTTTATATAAAGCTACAGTTTACAATGAGGTCATTAAGATCCAATTATCCAATTTGATCAAATGAAAATAAATACTAACAGGATTTTATTAAATATTTATAAATTCGGGTTTAACATTAACCTATACATATTTAAAGTTTTACAGTTGCAGTTTTATATTACCAGTTTTAGTCAATATGATATAAATATGCTATTTTCATAAAATATAAACCAAAATATTTAAATGATTAAAAATGTGATACTTTTCAAAGAATATGAAAATATGTTGAAAAACAACTAAGTATTAATTTTTTTGATGCTATATTGTACGACTCCTTTTAATTAAACCATGATGCCTATATCGGTTGGACCAGTTCAGACTTAAATACTAGGGAGATGATGTAGAAGACTATCTGCAGTTTTATTAAAATGGCTTGAAAACTAAGGGATCGCTTTTCGTAGAAACAAATAGACGGACATAACTAGATCGCACTAGCTGTTAAGAACATGCATATATGTATAATTTATAGGACCGACTAACATTATATCTCGCAAGGGTATAACAAATACGTTATTTACTGACACCTTAAGAGTGAATTAGTCTAATGTACTTAAAACAATGTTCTAGATTAAATAAATATATTCACAAGTTGAATTTTGGATAGCCCCCCCACATGGACCAGTTAAACCCCATATACTGTCTCCACTAAACATTTGTAGCGAGTTTAAGTGCGAGAATTAGAGGGACATACAACTTTGAAGATGGGATTAAAAGAATTTGTTTTGTAATAACTCGCATGTTTATGATTCGATTTTACTTAACATTTCTGAGTACTTCAGCACAGTTGTCATTATTTGATACTATTAACTTACGCCGAATTTAAATTATAGTTTTGTTAATTGGTTTTATTTCCCTATTAAGTTGAGCGCAAGTGTTAGCTTTTGCATATGTTGCATTTCTTTTTGTGCCTTCGTTTTGTTTTCGTTTGAGCAGTTGCGACAGCTAAACGTATTAGTTTTCTATCCCCCACGCTCTCTCGCTCTCGTTGTGCCGCTGTACTTATTATCTTATCTTAACTTTCACGCTCTCCCGATCGCGCTGTGCCGCTGCACTTCTTTTCTATAGAACTCTTTTTTTCTTCAAGTACAAGTACAGTGGTAAATCTTAATGTCCGCTAATATTGTCTGTTTCGCCAAAACCTGCAAAAAGGCTTCTACAGGGGTACAGAAGGGGTAAGAACACCGGCTTACGCTACTGCTGATCGTGTCTTTCATGCGGTCAACCAAGGGCGGCGTTAAGGACATTTTATCGAGTTTTCGTAAAGCTCATAAAATTTTCTTGGCGCTGGATACTTAATTTAATAGCCTTACGCTATTAAATGAGTATCTCTAAGTTGTCGACCATTTCGAAAATATAATAACTCCCCATTTACAGCACCGTTGCAAATCAGGTGTTTCTCCATGTCAACATGGATTTATTAAGCGAAGATCAAGAACAACTAATCCCTTGGAGCTCTCTTCCTATATTATTAAGGGTTTTCATAATAATTTTCAGACAGATTTAATTTATAATGATTTCAGTAAATCATTTGACTCATTTGTTAGCCATTCTCTCCTCGTTAGGAAACTCGTTTTTAGGGGGTTTCCAGTTGATCTTCTTAATTGAATCTCAAGTTATCTGAATGGTAGGAGTCAAAAGGTCTTCTTTAAGAATAACTTATCTAATGTCCTAAGGGTTACTTCTGGCGTCCCGCAAGGTAGCCATTTGGGTAGCCTATAGTTTGCATTATTTCTAAATGACCTACCCAAAGTATAGACTAACTCCAGAGTGCCTATTTACGCTGATGACAGATCTTAATAATTTTCAAACATGGTGCTTCATAAACTTATTAAACTTAAACGGCTCTAAATGCCAGCTAATTACATTCTCTTTTGTCGTTCCCAAGCTTGCAACTTACACGCTGAACTGCTGTTTTTTGGAAAGAATTAATTCTGTTGACGATTTGGGCTTCCGTTTGAACTCTAAACTTGACTTTATGGGTCATATTTCGTCTATGGTGAATAGCGCCAGAGGTGTGCTTGGATTTATTAAACGGTGGTCGAAAAAATTCAATGACCCTATGTTACTTAATCCCTATAGATTTCATTAGTTCGTCCTATCTTGGAGTATGGATCTTACGTTTGGAGCGCTCAATACGGTGTCCATAGAAAACGCATCGAGTCGGTTCAAATAACTTTTTATTTTTCGCTCTTCACGGTTTAAATTGAGACGTAAACCAAAGATTACCTTTTTACTCTTAAAGGCTCCTCCTAATTAACTTACCAGCCTTAGCCAATCGTGGAACGTTGCTAGGAATAATCTTAATTTATAACATTATCCATGGTGATGTGGAAAGAGCTGACCTGTTGAGTCAGCTCAATTTCCACGTACCATATATAAGTATTAGATCCTATAATACCTTTACAGTTGCGCACTGTCGAACCTCATTTGAACTGCATGAACCCTTTAGAGTTTTATGTGCAAAATATAATGATTTGTACACACTAATCTCCAACGTAGACAGTCTTCCCCAATTAAACACTTTAATACTAACATACTTAGTAAACATGCAAGCAAACAACTTGGCAGAACGTCGCTAGTCCTCATATTCTGTCCTATATATTCCATCACTCCTACTAACACCTAACCTACACAGGCACGTGCCCGGTGCCATACGGGCCACTTAAGTGTACTGACCTTAGTGTATCAACGTCCATGTATATAACAAAAAAGTAAAAGGTTTATTATCATAAAACTTACATAAACATTTTATAAAATTGCAAAATTAAAATTTTAATTAATTAAGCTCTGGGAATATTCTGATTAAGGCGTAGAAAATTCATAATATATCACATTTAAACAGAATTAAAATGTTTACCTTATTTTTAGGGTTGCGTAAAAGGCATTTTATATTTCTAACAATAAAAAACACGAGCCAACTTTAATTGTCCGAATCTGTAGCGTAACTACTGTGCTGTTGTCCATCGGGCATTTATGTTAGACAGTCTAATACAAGTCCCACAAATTTTTATTATAATTTAATAAAGTTGCGCAGAGCCGGACAAACAAATAGCAAAAGACTTTACAATCAATCTTGTAAATTTAATACTTGCAAGCAGAACTTGTGATTTTTACTGTACACTTACAGGGTATTATACTTTCGGTCAGAAGTTTGAATCGCAGTGAAGACATCATCTTCGATCATATATAGTATATATTTTATTGATCAGCATCAACAGCCGAGTCGATCTATGTAAGTCTGTCCGATTCTACACAAACAAGTCTCTCAGTTTTGAAGCTATCTATCTAAATAAAACTTTGAAGTTAGCCTTTTGTATAAGTCAGAACGGGCCGAATCGAACGATTATATCATACGACTGCCATACGAACGAACTCAAAATTTTTAGAAAAAAATATAACTTTTCCAGTTCATTTTCATTATTCAATTATTAAATTTTATGAAAATCGGACTACTATATCATATCACTCCCATGGGAACGATTATGAAATGAATACAGCTAAAAATAATAGTCCTTCAGTTCTAAAAATATTTTCATCTAATTATTATAGAATTTTCGAAGAACTATATCATATAACTGCCATAGAAACTATCGTTAAATGTAAAGGAAAACGTCAAACTATGAATGTAAAACTGTAACTATAAAACTTTAAATATAAGAAGTTTAGGTGACTGTTATGAAAGTTTTCATTGTTTTTTAACACAAATATATATAATTTATATTGTACTAATTATTGATAGAGTTGCAATCTGCAAGGTATTGGTTGTACAGATCCGATAGCAAACTACAGAGGTATTCAAATTTCAACGATCTAAGCTTAGCCGTTTTTTTTTTTGCTATCCCTATTTGTTAAATATAGACAATTAATATGTATTACTAATATATTTCGTAGAATGTACTTACATGATTCTTATATATAACGACTACATAATCGGAGCATGGATTATATACAATCTCATCTGTACCCCGCCGTGGTATTCGACATGTACCGAATACTTTGCCAAACTGGCTATTGTCCAACTCATTGTTGCCCATTTTGACAATTGGAATCTTGTGGGCTTTTACCATGTCATTGAACTCGCCCAAGCCAAAAATAACTTTAGACGTGTAGACAATAAAAGCATTTGTATCCTTAAAGTCTTGTCGGGGAAAGGTCATGCCAGGACTGACAAAGACGGTAACTGGATATCGATATTGCAAATATGCAGCTTTCAGCCACCGGTCTGCTAACCAGTTTTTTTCTTTGCTTCCAACATCCTCTAAGAGTTTTTGGAGATTACTGCCCTCCCCGTTTAGGAACTCTTCAGTGATTTTAATTTGCTCCCTCAGTTCTGTGGGTGTCAGGAAAGGTTCAACAGTGCTCATAAATCGATTTAGGGTTTCTTTAAGCGGCAATACATGGTAAGACAAAAGATTTGACTGCTTCGAATCCGACGAAGTTTCCTTAGTGCTGGTGTAACTAGCTGGAAGCAGTTGTTTGTCAAATGCATTCTTCGTTTGCTGAAGTAGCGAAGTTTTTGTCTGTAAACCAATTGAAATGGTAAGGGTGTTATTGGTTCTGAGGGTTAAAGGAGCACTTGTTCCACTTGCCAGATGTAATAAAGCTTTTCCATTGTTAGGGAACCTCATATCGCCGTCGCTTTTTTCGAATATAGCGAAATATAAAACGGCTTTCCCTCAGGTCTAATTATTTTAAGTTTTGTAATCAACTAGTTAACCTTTGATATTTTTATAAGAAGCTATAAAAAGCTGAACGATAACCAGACTACTAAAGATTTCACAATGAATGTACAAAAATACATACATAGGTATCAAAATACATAAATGTGTTATCTCAACCGGTTCTGTTTGGAGACCTAAAAAGTGCTGCGAAATCATTGAAACTCCACTGCCGTTGCATTTAAAATCGTTATTCACATGTACTCATTTGAAAGTTATAAACTAACTACATACATACATATGTACATATGTAGGAATACTCTCTTCCGAATATTTACGTATGCCCTTAAATATATACGCTCAAACATTTATACAAACATTTTATAGCTATTTATACATATAGTGAAGTGATTCTGTTTTGTGAGTCGAATTAAAGTCTCGTCAGTTGACTAAGGACAACTCTAAGTTGAATTAATAAAACGAATATTCCGCTTCACGTCTTTATTCAAATGATCTCAGCTTAAGACTAAATTATTGTGACAAAAATCTTACTTCTACTGCCCTTTGTTTACCAAAGTTGGGGAGCGAGATCGCTCGTTTGGGATATTGATTGAAGAATTATTTATGTTATTGAGAAGGAGCATTGCTTGCTCCGGATGTGGGTTGTTTACATTGGTTCAGCGTGGGATCGCCTACGCTGCAGATTCATATTTCTTGGAACATAACAGAATTTGTGAATATGTCACTTCCCTCCCCTTAAAAGGGTTGCCTATGTTTGGGCTGGCATTTCAGGGTACAATGCAGGCAACTGGTTTTGTGCCGGTTCTACAGGGTGCGGCAAGAAAACTTGCTGATTTTAGAAGGTTATAAATAAAAAGTAGTTGACATACCATTCCAAATTTTTTTTATTCTTGTAACACACATGCTGAAGTTTTCTTTACACAGTTTTGAAGATTACATCGGACATCAATGCACTGAGATACCCGATTTTCGAAGCTCAGCTGAACTCTCTCAAGCATATCGACGGGTATCTTTGCGATTGCTTGCCGAATGTTATACTCCGATGAGCTGGATGGGATTTTGTCACATTCCCGCTCTCCCTGAATGTTTTCACCCACGAAACAATCGACTGCCGGTCAGGAACGCGACCTGCAGGATGAATGTTGAGTTGAGTGGCAATTACGGAACGACCGTTGGAAAAGTAAGCCTTTCAGGCAAATGCGCGCTGATCTTTTGTCCAATGCATGATGTCGACTGACTGTGGAGTAGACAAAACTTCAGGAAGTCCCCTAAAACATGAGACACTCCCCACCATTACCCGACCACTCCCCGCCGCTTGGCGCCAAAAACAAATCAGCAAGTTTTCGTGCCTCACCCTGTATTTCTTGTTGTGGTTCTTGATTATTTTTTGCTTGTTTTCTAAATTTTGTATATAAAAAGGTAAGTGGATTTTGTGTATACAATTTTGATAGGACAACAAAAATAATAAGAACGATAACTACTAATATTATAAATACGTAAAGTGTGGTATTATTTTCTGAAATTAGTTTTAAAACGTCATTATGTTCTACTATCTTTATCTTAGTTACATTAATCGGTGAATACAATGCTGTTAAATCAAATTCTGGACTTAACGAATTTTCGCTTAAATAATTACAAATTGGTTTTTACGATTAATTATATTTTTAATGCATTCATTATTAACTTCTTTATTGTCTTGATTATAAATTTTATTCTTATCTTCAAAATATGATTGTTGATCTGAATAGTCTAACTGGTATCCATTATGGTCGGGATAAGGAATTATTTTAATGGTGTTAATGGTTTTGTGGTTAATAGGGATATGTGAAATAAGTAACATCATCGTACAGAAGGTTCCTGTGGAAGTTTAACGGCATTAGTTTTCTTTTGTTTCTTAAATTGTGTTTTGTAGTATTGGGTTTCCCTATTTCGATTGGTAATTTTGTGATGGTCTTCGTCTATTTTTTCTATATTTTTATTTGCTTTAAATGGATTTTCTAATTTTCCCTTTTGAAGTGGACCTTTTCTGTATCTAGTGTCAATGTTAAATTCCTGTCGATCTTCATTTATTTTATCTATTTTCCTTTCTTTAATATTTTGAGTGTTTAATATTGGATGTCCAGCGTATAAGAATATTTGATCAGGTGTTTGTCCAGTGGTATCATGTTCTATTTTATGATTTTATGTGTAAAGAATTGTCTATATCTTGCTTAATTTTACTTCTTCATCATCGGATGAGTTGATTATTCGAATTTTTTCATTTATTGTCTTATGTAGTCTTTCGACGTCTGCTACACCGGTTTTTGCCGTGTTAAGTTGTAATTCAATTCCTTCTGCTTCAAGCCATCGCTTTAGAGTCAAGCTGGTGAAAGCTCCGTCTCTGTCTGCCTTTAGTAATTTGGATTTACCTAACTGATTAAAAATGCGCATTAGTGCGTTCCTGCATTCTATCCAATCCTTTGATTTAATATGTTCAAGTGTAGCGAATTTTGAATAAATGTCAATGCAACTAATGTAATGTTTTCCCTCAGATGAATAAATATCTACCACAAATTTGTCTCGACAATGTTCAGGGTTGGGTGTGATTTTAAGAGGCATTTTGGTATTTCTGTGTTCTGTTTTAGCCAAATTGCATATGTTGCATTCATTTATTATATTCTGAATTAATAGTTGGCTATTTGGAAAACAGTGATTTTCTTTGAATAATTTAGTCATTTTCTGTATACCTGGATGTAAAAGTTTTTCATGTGATTGAAGTATAATTTCTTTGAATTCGGCGTATGAACAAACATTCTTTAATAAGTGGAGGCTGCGAATTATTTAGTGTAAGTGGTATTAATAATTTCTCTGTGTGCTCTTTGAATGAATTCAAAATCTACATCGCTTTCAATATGAATGGTAATGTTTCTATGAATAAAATGATCAAGTAAAATTTGTTTGGCTTTGTCGAGTGTCATTACATTATATTGAATTGTTGTAATGGAGTTACCGAATATTGTTGAATGCTCTACTTTATTGTTATCGGATTTAATGAAAATTATTTGTTTTTTGAAATAGTTTATTGGTTTTTCTTTTAAATGAATTAGGTTACTATTATCTTCTTCTGCACTATGTTGAGTAACTTCACTATGGTGATTTTCTTCAATTTTAATTCTTGATAATGCATCGGCAACTGAATTTTCATTCCCTTTAATATAGTCGATTTTAAATCGTTTAACTTGGCTTTTCATCTTTGTATCTTGGCATTTGGTTCTTTTAAAGTATGCAGCTATCTAAGAGGTTGATGGTCACTAGCAATGAGAAAATGTCGTCCTAGTAAATAATGTCGAAAAGTCTAAGTGGCCCAAACAATGGCAAGTAATTCCTTTTCGATTACACTGTAATTTAATTCATGTTCATTAAGTGTTCTGCTAATAAAGGATGTAGGATGACCATTTTGAGCAAGTCTGGCTCCATGGGCTAGATTACTGGCATCTGTGGTTAAAGTGAATTCTTTTCGAAAAAGGGTAATTGGAGAATTGGTTCTCTAATTATTAAAGTTTTAAGTTTTTTGAATGCTTCTATGTAGTCGAGATTTTGTGTATCTATTTTTGCTCCTTTTATACATTTGGTCATTGGTTTTGCTATGTCTGCGTAGTTTGGGATAAATTTACGATAATAACCGGTTAATCCAAGGAAAGCTCTGATTTCTTTTACTTTTGTTGGAATTGGATATGAAACTATGGCTTTAACTTTAAGGGGGTTTCGTTTTATACCATTGGGGGTTACGATGTGAACAAGAAAACTAGCTTCCTTTTCTAAGAATCCACATTTGTCTAACTGCAACTTTTAATTGGCTTCTGCAAGTTTGGAAAAAACTAGCTGTAATGAATTTAAATGTTCGGTAAGGGATGTGGAAAAAATTATGATGTCATCTAAATTCACTAAACAGTGTTTATTGAGCAACGGTCGAAGGATATTATTCATGCACCTTTGAAAAGTAGCAGGTGCATTTCTAAGGCCAAATGGCATTCGAAGGTATTCGTAATGACCGCTTTTGGTGGAAAATGCAGTTTTAGGTATTGATTCTGATTCTATTACTATTTGATGAAATCTCTTTGCCAAATCGATAGTTGAAAAATATTGGCATTTACCTGTTTACCAATGATTTCGTCCATGTTTGGTATTGGATATCTGTCGGGAATAGTTATTTCATTTAGCTTTCTATAATCAATTACTACTCTATACTTAATTTTTCAAAAAACATCAGGTTTTTGGGTACTACCCAGGTAGGACTATTGTATGGTGAATTACTTTCCCTAATCCCTCATTAGGCATTTCCTGTACTTAATTATCGACTTCAATTTCGTGCGCTTGAGCAAGTGGGTGCTGTTTTGAATAAATTGGGGAGTTATGTGTTGTATTTAGTACGTGTTTAATGGTATTTGTAAATGTTAGATTGTCTCCTTCTTCATATTGAAGATTTTTGAATTTATTTAATAAACCTTTCAACCTTGAAGTTTCCTCCTGATTCAGGTGACCTAATCGAAACAATCCAAAATCAATTTTTTTTATTGATTCTTGATGTGATTTTTTAATTGGTTCTATTGGCTTTTGGATATAAAAATGTTGATTCTTTTCTGATTTTGAAGTTATTAATTTATATGTTTTATCAAAAAAGGTAACTGTGCTATTTTTGTAATTTATAATTGATTGTGCATTTTTCAACAATTTTCTGCCAATTAGTATATCATAATTATTAGAAAAATTGTGTACATAAAATGGTTCAGTTGTTTTAAAAATACTATTGCTGGGTAACATAATTAAATTGTTCAATGTAATAGGGCCATTTGATGTCAAAACTTCGCATATAGTATTTTGAATAGGAAGACAAAATATATTTTTATTGATCATATTTATTGTGGATCCTGTGTCTATAAGGCAATTGTATGTGCAACCTTTGTATGCTATTTCTATGTATTGGTGTTGTCCGGGGCTGTTAACGGAAAATTTTCGTTTGGTTCCGAGCTATTTAGATTTTGTTCATCTTTATTTTGGGTGTATTGGACCTGTTGTTGCTGTTGTTGTTCATTAATCAACATATGGTATTGATTGTGGTCATAATACTGTTGTTCATAA